ATGGAAGATACTTACCTGAGTTGGATGTGATCTGCAGAGGTGGCATTGATGAGTGGTGACCACATTGATGACTTGGAGACTATCTGCAGGGGTAGCACTAATTCACTGGAAGGCATATTGATGAGTTGGCAAGATATTGGTGTTGCGCTGATGAGCGCTGKACTCAGGGAAACTTTGAAACACTTTGTATCCATATTTTTGATAATATAAGCTGTGAAACTCGGTTCTCATCTTCTCTACCTATTATCAGACTACTGTTCGTTGTGTGTGGGAGAACGATGCATGGCATGTACACACTTGCGTGAGATGGTCTCCAGGACCCATGCAAAACTGTGGCGGGTGCATCTGGTCATGTTCAATCAGGAAGTTCATTCTCATTTTGCACATTTCCAGAGTGGTGTGGCGATGCCCTTTGTAGTTACTGATCAACGTGCTTGCTTTTTTTTTTTTTTTTTTTTTTTTTTCAGAGAGGGGGCCGGCCACCCCACATAAAGCTCGGTACTGGGAGCCTTCGGACCTGAGAACAAAAACAAACTGAGAAACAAAATGAACTGAAAAGAAAATAAATTAAGAGGAAATTACTCTACCTCTATACCCATCTTTCTCCCCAATTTCCCCCCAACCTCTACACCTAGACTACTTCTTTACCACACAAACTATCTCTACAACCCAATTAATTGTGTTGTGGGCCTGTGGCGACAAAAACTTTCAGCAAGACTGATGTCACTGATATTCGTATATAATGATGCTGTTTTCTTGCCACACCAAACCGTCCGCAATCTCGTTTATGTCGAAGATCATTACGCTGGCCCGGTGCTGCAGCAGGACAATGTACCAACACCGCGACCTTCTCCTTTGCACACCGACAATCACTGTTACATACGGATGTAGCCGCCATCGTCTCCGTCACAATCACTACAATGACATGGTTTCTGTATCCATGTGTGTAGAGGACTCTCCCTCCTTTCCTAACTGCAGGTATCCTCCGCATCCGGACAGTATATATGCATTTTGCGGCCATGGGTGCTATACTGAATACATGGTCTTTTGTGGTGAGCGCTCTTCGTTTTGGCCTGCAATCGACATGCCATTTGTCGGGGTTGTATGGTGTGGGCGCGCTCAATGCCAGCCGTCGTGGCAATGTTTTACTGAGAATGCTCAGCTAGGTCTTCCATATGTTAATCGGAACTTAATCCACCTCATCCTTACAATATGCGTCCTCTCTGTCGTCAAGGACAGACTGATTCTTGAGCCTGTTCTTATCCTCTCCTTTGCCTTAATCTTCATTCCACACTCCTTACTTTCATCCAGAATGCAAATTCACATCGAAAGCCAGAAGTCCAACGCTGTCCAGAAAGCAGAAATGCACCGATATTCACCAACGGAGAACCAACGCACCGGATCCGAATGTCAATGAGAGCATACTCTCGCCACCACCAACCAACATATGTAATCCAGAGCTCATCCTCCTACTTGGCGCTCAGCGCCCAGACTACTACTACACAGCTACTAGCAGCCTACGAATTGACAATGCATTCCGTTGACGTCAGCAGCAACAATCGAAGTGCATGCCCTTTGTTGTTCTAATTCCATAGGGACCCAAAATGCAAGTAGCACCACTGGATATATCGAATGACGTCAAGTATTGCGAATCGTCAAATATGCGACGACAAGGACAATGAACAAAATCATATGATAACGAAGTCCCGCTGTGCTTTTTCTTCGACCCTTCATGATAGCGCAGGACCAAGACTTTGAAATCACAATTTTGTATTTCGACTATAACGGTATAACCACTTTTTTGAAGTTCTTTCAGAAAAAAAGGTACCGCTCTTCTCTCCATCTCCCTCCTCTGTGTTTATCCCCTCCCCCTTTACTCTGCCTCTTTCTCACAGCGTACAAGTGACCCGCTATGGCACACGGGCATCCAGGCAGCTCACGCTCAATTTCATCTAACGTGGTGAGCCTTGTACCTGAGAGGCATAGTGAACGGGGAGTCGAAAGAAGAATGATAAAAATGACTGGTTTCAGTGTGTGCTCTTCATGTGTGTCCTGTGTATTTTTATCGTTTGTTTCGCAAAGTGTGCTCTTTTAGTAGCTCATAGATTTGTGATGACAAGATACACATGGCGAACCTTGTACGTGAGAGGCACGGCGAAGGGGGAGTTAAAAGAAGAATGAGAAAAATGAATGTTTCAGTGTCCCCCTCATGTTTGTCGTGTTTTTTTTTTAATCTTTACCCTTTTTTTTTGCAAAGTGCACTCTTTTAGTTCATAGTCATGTGACAATATAATATATAATATATATAATATTATCTATATATGATGCCAATGACACAATCAGTGACCTTTGTGTGTCTGCATTCTTGTTTTTTTTCCAGTTTGGGCTGGGCTCAAGGAGAGAGAAAGGCAAGGGCAGAAGTTTCTGGTCGCAGAGCGACCCACCCGGCGGCAATCCCGTGGTGTCTGCTCAGAATCTCCAGAGACAGTAGGTCAGATACGCCGTGAGAACAGAGCTTTGATTGCAGGCGCAACTCTTCTATTTGATGACGGCGGCGGCATCATTCCTGAAGTGGGGTTCGATGCGGATGGTGGTGGCTGTTGTGGGTGGGACGAATGGCAGGATGAGCTCAACCAATCGGCGGATGCCTGTCTTGAGGACTCTGCAGCTGATACTGGAGATAACCGGTGAACTAAACAGAGAGAAAAGTAGGAAGGGGAGCAAGATTAAAAAAAAGAGGAAAAAAAAAAGGAAGGGGAGCGAGATAGGAGGGGAAGCACGAGCAGGACAATGAGAATGAGAAAAAGACGTAAGAGGAGGAAGAGGAGGAAGAGGAGGGTGAGCAAGATAGGAGAGGAAGCACGGCAAGGACAATGAGAATGACAACAAGGTGGAAGAGGAGGAAGAGGAGACTGGAGAACAAGAAGGTGGGCTACTGCATCTCCCATGTGTGATACAGTTCGTCGATATCTCAAGGCATACTCACACCGGGCTGTTCCTCGATGTATCCGACTCTAATTACAACCAGTCCTGGACGTACCTGACCATGATCACGCCGCAAGTTCAGTTTATGGAGTCCTACTGTGAGTATGCCCTTGGTTATCAACAAGCTGTATCACACTTTCCCAGTGTGACTCTGTGTGAGTATGCACATTCGACGATAAGTTGACACCAACACACACACACACACACACACACACACACACACACACACACA